TTATGGAATCACTGAACCAGCTCTTCACTGGATCACAGCTCTCCTTTCCAAGAGGACCCAACGTGTTCTTCTTGACGGCACTGTCTCTAACCCTGTCCCTGTCTCTTCTGGTATCCCCCAAGGCACCGTCTTAGGTCCACTCTTTTTCTTAATGAATATAAATGATCTCCCATTATCCAGCCCTAATTCTACAGCTAGACTTTTTGCTGACGACAGCCTCATCTATCGACCGATCGACTGCGAACTCCTCCAGACTGACCTTACTCCCTCGAGCTATGGGAAGTCACATGGCAAATGGATTTTCGACCCTATAAATACAGAGCTATAAACTTTACCCGTTCTTATCTCCCATTAAATTTCCTTACACAATCTACTCATAACTGCTACCCAACATACCACCGCACAAATACCTTGATATCACACTACACGCCAACATGAAATTTAATACACACATACAGAAGGCAATTAACACATAGCTTATAACACCCTTGTCCGTCCAACACTGGAGTTCTGTACAACAGTGTGGGACCCACACATACAAACAAGCATTAACTAGAAAAAATACTACTGCAGCAGCCAGGTTCATTATGAACTACACTGCTTCCTGGCATCAAAACACAAATAAAATAATTACACATGAACGCCCTCTCAATGCGCAGACAAACACACACTAACAATCATTTACAAAATCACAAACAACCAAATCGACATAAACAAACAAGATTACTTACACCACGCAAACACAACTAATACACAAAACGCCCACAACCAGAAATAACATAAATTACTCACCAGTACAGACTCTTCCAAACACTCATACTTTCCACGCACCATTCGTGACTGGAACAAACACCCACAACACATTACACACGCAGACAAAACAGACACCTTCCACAAAATAACACCAACGCGTCTCAGATCACATAAAACACTATAGGCTTACCTTATCCCCTTTTTTCCTCCCAACAACCAATTGTCCCACAAGCGTGTTTATCCGCCTACGCTTTGAACCAATTGAGATTGATATTAGAGAGAGAGAGAGAGAGAGAGAGAGATGAGAGAGAGAGAGAGAGAGAGAGAGAGAGAGAGAGAGAGAGATGTGTGTGTGTGTGTGAGAGAGAGAGAGAGAGAGAGAGAGAGAGAGAGAGAGAGAGAAAGAGAGAGAGAGAGAGAGAGAGAGAGAGAGAGAATGTGTGTATGTGTGTGCGTGCATGTGTGCGTGTGTGTTAGTGTTTGTTTGTTTGTGTGTATGTGTGGATATGTGTGTATGTGTGGATATGTGTGTTTGTGTATGTGTGTATGTGTGTATGTGTTATGTGTGTTTGTGTGTGTGGATATGTGTGTTTGTGTGTATGTTAGATATGTGTGTGTGTGTATGTGTTTTTGTGTGTGTGTATGTGTGGATTTGTGTGTATGTGTGGATATGTGTTTGTGTGTATGTGTGGTATGTGTGTTTGTGTGTGTGTTTTGTTGTGTGTGTATGTGTATTTGTTTGTGTGTGTATCCCAAATGTCTTTCAAACCGGACACAGTACGAAATTTGCCAAAGCAATTTCTCATAGTAAACAGTTTTTTGAACAATGCACCAGCGTAGGGAAATTGATAGAGAGGTATTACCTGTTCACAAACCACAACTATTCTACACGGCAGTATGAAATCTATCATCCACTCATGCAACCGCACATGTAAAATGAAAGCAAGCTCTCACGTAATATGGGGATTAACGAAGAGAAAATGAAGAAATCTGTGTTGACAAAAAACTTTCGAACAAAGAAAATGGATGAAGTACAGGGGGGACTCATGATTATCGGCCGGTTTGTTAAAATTGTGCCAGGCCCAACCCAATGAATTTTCATAAATACAGATGCACAAATAAAGGCATATCTGTCTATATATCTGATAGATAAACATTAAACCATCTGTTTGCCGGGTAGATATGCATGTCCAGACCGATAAATATGCATTTATTTCTTTATTTATGTGTGTCAAGTATACGAATATTTTTTGGGTAGAGCCATGCACAATTTTAACAAACCGGCCGTATATCCATGGTAATGGTATGTCAAGATAAAAAATGCTGCTACAACGGTTCCTACTCGCTTTATCAACATTAAATAATAATGATAATAAACATAGTAATAGTAATAACAGCAGTAATATACACTCAAACATGTTTATTTTATAGTAATACGAATGCTGTTCATAATGAAAATAACTAAAGAAATCGTTCGTTACATCAATATATCTCAATTGAAAAAAAGGTAAGAATGGAGATGATGGAAGTAAATTCGACAATCGCATTGTTTCACGTTGAAGTTAGGTTAGTTGCTGAGTGCGAGCAAAAATATATGAATTTCCAAGAGCAACCTCGGTAATATATTGAAAGCAAATATCGGAGATGGATGCCAGGGGATAATATAACAAGATATGAGCTTGTATGTACGTATGCTTATATGCTTAAATGTATACATCCATATATAAGAAATATACATTTTTAGGGATATATACCATATAGGTATCCATATATTCATTATACATACCTATACATATGCATGCTTGCATTCATACATACATACATATATACTCGTACACGTGTGTTTGTGTCTGAGTGTGTGTGTGTGTGTGTGTCTGTGTGTATTTGTATGCGGATATTCATACTTATCTATCTGTTCACATGCTCAGTTATTTGCTTAATGCACTGGCAAGAACTTTTGACTCTGTCTTCAAAACACAATATTATCATTTACTTTCAGGTGACAATGTAATTAAAATTTTCGGATCCATTTGTGATCTCCAATATTTCATCAATGTTAAGCTTTCATGTCAACCTCTCCCCCTCCAAATGGTACACTACATTACACACATAAACACAGCAAACACTACCACTCCGGTGACATCCTCAAACGTGACTGCATACCAACGAGGCCAAATATATATAAAGTGGAGAACACATTCAAGCCAGTTTAGAGAATTGAAGTCTAACTGATCAATATACGAAGCCGAACGAACAACAAGCGCCATAGAAAACGGGCCAGACTGTAAAATCCTCTCACTCGGTGCAAAACACAGATGGTTGGTTATCTTATCATTGCACAGTTTTTACGTCCAGCAGGAAGCAGCAGGGGAAGGGGCAGACACAACACATGCTTTGTAAATTGACGGCGGTTTGCGTCTGGCTCGGGAGGGACCTAGTCCTTTAATTCAGGCTTGTTAGCGAGTCTCCGCGGCTGGTTTTAACACTTGTTTATGGTGATGTGCAGTACCAAGGCTTTTTAAAGGGATGGTTTTAATCAGCACTGAGAAAATGGCCCTCAATGAATGTCATTTAAGCTCGTTTATTAATCTGCATGTCACTGACATTTGAACAGGAAACAATTATTTATTATAATAACTGAACATGCGCTGTATATATGCATGCAGCTGATCATAAGCAAGGTCACTGTGCAATACCTGCATAGATTTATTGTCTTATTAGATCTTGATGTGGTGGATCAAGCTTTGTGTACTGACAGTAATGGTTTAGTAAAAAAAAAAAAAAAATGGATTACCAATTAAATTAATTTCTAATGTACCGTCGCCATATTATTACTACTACTGTACCGCCGTCACTACAACCGCTACTACTAGAAACTGTTCTTGCGACTGTAGTTATTAGTAGTAGCATTATGAAATATGGAATAATGCACTGCCGCATTATCTATATCTTTACATGAATTACTAATACCATTAGTATCGACTTCATTCTCAATTACTTCCCATGCTGCCTAGCTTCGTACAGTAAAGATGTCTCCTTAACACGTAGTATATCACTGATCAGGGATATCGAGCTCCTTAAATCATTCAGACCAGGGCGCCGCTGTGCAGTTCATCGTGTTATTCAGACTCCGCTCAGAACACGAGGGTGGCACTTCACGAGGGCCAACTCGGTCACTCGCCCCACAAAAGTTGAGTCAACAATTGGCTCCAACTCGGCTAACTGTGTTCGCTTGGAAAGAGAGGTATTGCCGTAGTTTGTGCTCGCGGGGGCGGGGGTGGAAGCATGGCCAGCATCGGGGACTCGGATGCACTGGCTTTGGCTATGCTGCAAACGCCGTCTCTGTTTTAATGCTGTGGGTATTGTCGTCGCTTGTATTGTGTCATGTCCACGACTGTGTTTACATCTGCTTGAATATGATTCGGCTTCCATTTGGTCAGCACTTCCAGTAGTTTTATTTTATTTGATAGTTTTATTACATCCCTGACAAAGGTCCAACACTTTGCTACACTAAAATATTTTAAATCACCATAAAAACTATGAATCTGAACATCAATTTCCAAAACGTGGGGTCGCCAAGGCTATATGTAATGGTCTAGGAAAAGTAAGGGGCATATATGTGACTAATAATGTATGGCGCTTTCCTGCACTATTTTGGCCATGGTCCTTTAATTGGCCTTTATAATAATTGGTCATCCTTTAACTTTGGAAAAAAAACAGGGCTTGTACATGTTCATCTAAGAGGTATTGATAAGCTTTAAAACATGGCAATAGCTTGTGCTGAATAAATCACCCATTGAACAGACTCAAAGACTCAAAGACATATTTCATGTGGGCTTTGTTGAGTTACCATGGATTTATTTTTTAAAGATGTTTTGTAAACGCATAACACACATAACGTCTACCTTAAAAGCCAAACAGTTCGAATTATGCTGTGTTTCGGGCAGCTGACAGGGAACATCATGTCCTATTAAGAGTATATGAATCCATATTAATGTTAACCAAGCCTTGGACCCTTTAAATGCATCTTGGAGCAGTCCATTATTCTATTACAGTGCCATCCCCTTCCTCTGGGATCACTATTGTCAATCACTATTACCATGCTAAGCTTTGCATTCCAGTAACTATGCAGATCATAATCCTAGAACATGCACGATAGTTTATACCCTTATGTAGGATATAGAAAGGATCTGAGCAAGCATCCCCTCATATGACTTCTCAACAGTCTCGGTACTGAATCCAAGAAA